AATGGCTTCATCTCACACATGTGCTATCATGGTGCCTGTGAATGGAGGCAAAGGGGATCACCGCCCAAGTCACAGCATGAGGTGTCTGGTGCTTTCCCGCTTCATTACACTTTGTGAGTACAATTTTCAAGGGATTGCGGCCTACAGTATGAATCTATATAAATAGCAACTGAGTAAAGGTGTTTCATCCATAAAAATCATTCATTAAAACCATAAAGTTCAAAGAGGATATTTCCGTGATACTGTGTGACACGTGAACTCCGGGGAACGTAGTATTGATTGAGAAAACCCTGCTTGCAGAATGATTAACAGCTTGAACCGGCCAAGCTTTGTGGTCTAAATCATTCCCCTTACGTGCTACAGTATATTTTGTTAACTGCCTCACAATTCGTGACCCACAGAGTGTGTGGGCCGGGACATTCATTGACCGTGTTTGGGTGACCTTTTTTCTTAAAAGGTTTCAACTGGGATGTCAGTGGTTAGCAGGGGAATGTCTTTGAAGGTATTTCCTATTTTTTATTTATTTATTTTTGTTAGAATTTTATTCAGAGCAAAAGGAATTAAGAGTGCAATTTTACTAGTTCCTCAAACACAAATGCCACATAGTGCCAAACACACTTCTCAGTGGTTATATAGCAATCAGCTTACCTACAAGTAAAATTCAAGAGCTACTGTGGTACTTTTTCATTCATTAACCTTGTATTCGGTGTATACAATAATTCAACAATAATTCAATATCCCACAAAGAACAGATCACAGATGTAGCCCAGAACATTAAAGTCAAAGAGAATTGATCAAATTCTTGTGGCCCAGTGGCCTAATGGATAAGGCATCAGCCTCCGGAGCTGGGGATTGTGGGTTCAAGTCCCACCTGGGTCGTGTGGGTCTCACTTGGATGGATAGGTGTGAACCAACTTATGAAGTCTATATAGCCTTTGCACCTTCAGAGACACTGTACAGCTGAGATGTCAGTCTGACATGTCATAGTAGGAGAAACACAGGCATAGATAATGGCTTAATTCCATTTAGCTGCTGCAGTTTCATTGTGCATGTTTGCTCACATATCATGGGATGCCTAAATAGAATAAACTAATCATAAATGTTATTGATAATGCCTGTGCTTTCCTTACTGTCAGGACTTGTGAAAACAAATAATGTGTTAATGATAAAATGCCACAGAGGACTTTATAAAGAGCAAAACAAATGAAATAGTGTGCCAGACCTTACAATCCAAAATTATAAAGTATCTCACATTACACAACAGTCCTGTTATTCTAATACTGTACATTAAACTGCTGTTGTGAGGAAGCAGAGAGTATTCTGTTTTGTGTTGGCTGAACGTTAGTGCTACATTGTGTGCTTTCTATTTTACTAAACACGAGATACAGCAAAGAAATATTGACGTATGACACACGGGTCAAAGTTCTTTTTAGAATAAAAGTCATAAGATGTCAAAAACAGATTTTAGCAGTAAGAAGAAGAGAAAGGAGGACATAAGATTATTCCTCTGCAAAATATAGTTCAAGTCTCAAAAATAGAAGCACTTATTATGCAGAATGGCCCCATTCAGAATGTCATATTGTTTAAATAGTTATTATTTACGACTGAATTATAATTATTGACACATTAAGATGTAGCATTTGAATTGCTTTGCACAGCTGGATTGTTTAATATACAACAAACATGCAATATACTAGTTGATTAAATGCTTTTTAATGTAATTTTTAAAATGTTAAAACAGATTTCAGCAGAATTACTGTGAAGAAAAGAAGGGAGGACATGTAACGTTTTATACTGGATGCTTTGCTGCCCCTCTGTGGTAAAATATGTGCACATACATGCACATAGTGTGTATAATGCCAATTGAATTGAAACCATAGGCTTAACTCATCTGAGGAACAGCATATCTGCCTAAAATTAAAATATTAACAAAAAGTCATAAAATAAAAGGTCTGTCATGAGTAAAATGCATCATCATGAAAGTGTATCATTAGACATGGAAAGCTGCTATTTGCAGATGATGAGTGTGGCAGAAACAGATTGTAGACTGTCTTGTTAGAGTTAGCTGAGTGATGCCCGTGTTTAATAGAAATAAATCAGCCACCTTTTGAGTGTGTTCCAAACATTACCACTGTGACACAAATGCTCATGTAGGCCTAGTTTTCAAAATCTAATTTAAGATCACCTCACCATGTTTATACAGGTCCCGTTAACTATAAAAAGCATAGAATGAGCATTGTATTTAGTTGTTGACTTAATCTATTTGATTTATAATGTGGTTTTTTTTTCAGGAGTTCACAGGACTCAAAATTCAAAATAAAAAACTTCACCTAATTACGATTCCCAATATGTTATTTCCACAGCCTAGGAAAGTTCAATCAATATTTGTTCAGACGAACTCCTCTCTGTCAAACCAGACACCAGAGACGTTCTGAATAGTCATGGGGAAATGTAATCATAAACATAAACAAGATTAACAAATTGCCATTATTATTACAACCGGTTCTAATATTACAGTTAAGGGCGGTGCTTAATGTGGTTAGTGTAAGTGGCGTTGCTGTTGCTGGGCTGCTGTGGGTCGGTGCTGTCTCTGTTTGATAACTTTCAAATGTATTAAAAGCAGTAAACTAAAATGTAATATGAGTGTTAGGTAGGCTACATCACTGTCGACTGTTAAAGTTTTATAAAGTGTTTGTATGTCATAACAAAGGTCATAAAAACTGATAAAAAAAATTGAAGATATAGTATAATATGTTGTCAAATAGTCATAGTGTGTGCACTTTTTCTGTATGACACTCAATCTTATGGTGGCTCCCAAAAATGTCACTAAAATGGCCATGAAAACTGTGAGTTAAAATACTCTAAAATGATCAGGTTAACTGTTAAGTTTCTAAAAATGTGTCCTGGAGAAATTCCTGCCAAACCCACCTCAAGAGTTTGGTTGCAGAGGGTGTCAATTGAAAATGTCCCCCCACACACATAATGTTAAATAGGTGATTATGGCGCTGGTAATTAGCAAAGGGTATCCATTTCCCTTCAGCTTAATTTAATTACTTGTTTTAGCAGTGATGTTTGTTTCACCCCCTCATAATGAGCTCATTATTGACCTCAGATATGATTTTGTTGGTCTATATATATAGGAACAGAAATCAGAAAATGATCTTGTATTGGGCTGAAAACTTTGGTATTGGGTAACAAATGAGACAGGTTTTACATCTTCTGAGTGAGTACTGTCTCTGCGGGGGGTCAGTCAGAACAGGGGAGGCAGATTTGTCTGTCTCAGGATTTATTGCAGGAACTGTCATTAAAGGTTACAGGGACAGGTAGCTGTGGTTTTATCTTAAAGTTCTCACACCAAAGGAAGAAATGCACAGAAATCCACTCAACTTGTTACACAGAAAGTCCACACGACCTATCTTTAGGTCATACATCAAAATAACTAGGGAGGGTCTTGTGCTCAGTATTATACTATTGGTCTGTCCAAAATGTAAAAATTGAAGGAAAGAAACCATTAAATTAAGGGATTCGTAAACTGAAAATGGGAAAAAATGAAGCTAAATTTGGACATTTTCCTGAAGTGAAAACACCATGCTATTGTGTACCACTCAGTAATACTGAATAACTCTTTTGTGTCGTTTTTTTTTTTTTTTTTAAAGATGATGCAGTGAGTCCATGTCAGCAACTATAGTCCAAAATTAGCCATAGTTGTTACATGCACACACGTCCATTGTAGATGATATGGCACCAAAGAAAGCAAAAGATCAGGGAGAGCATGGCAGAAAAGTTGGTCAGTCTGTTTTAATGAATAGCCACAGGTTACATGACTGATTTAATTTAAGTAATTAATAGATTTAGGCTGGGTTGCACCAACAAAGATTAATTAGATCAGCTCTAATCAGAGTTTTATAAAACTAAACTAAATAAAGATTTACCAGAGGTCTTTGGCACTTAGACACCAGAGGGAGATATTTTGTGATCGAGGGACATCTGAGTGGCAGCAGGATAAATCCCCCCATGGAGTCCAGACACTGGTGGTGGTGGCTGATGACTCTGAGGCTGCTGACTGCTGGGCTGGATGAGGCTGATGAATCCATAAAGACTAGGTGGTAATGGTGAGGTGGGAGAAAGAACCATATTTAAAATGAGGGGCAGTAAGATGATAGGCTGACAGAGAAGGTGTGTCGCTGTGCTATTGGCTGACTGTGAATCAGCTGATGACTCAATTGACCTACCCAGTCAATGACACCTAGAGATAGTGTGAGTGAGCATGCATGAAAGGAGTGAGTGGCAGGGTGAGAAAGAAACTTACAGCCTAAGCATGAGAAGTATTGTCTTCCTGACTGAACTTTCGCAAGAGCTTTATATGGGTATAAGTGGAGATTTACAGTAAAGTATTCGGGCTTCTCTCTGTCATTCCGTCCTTTTCTGACCATTTATTATTTCATTAAAATGTTATTTGTAGTTCATTTTGCAGTGCAATGTTTGTGACGATGACCCTTAATTATCATTAATAGCCAACACGAACATCTCAGAATTATCAAAGTGCCCTGAAACCCCCTCGGTCTGCTGAGAGATAATGATGCACACCCGTGGACACTCCTTAGCTTGTTCCAAAGTGTGTTCACTAGGAAGGACTCTTCTTCTGTCTCCTTGGAAGGACTCGTCCTACCAAGGAAGGATCCTTGACTTTGAGAAACACCCCTTGTTGGTGCAATCCAGCCTTAACAATTCAAAACCAAACAGACTGTCCCTTTGTACCTGAACATGTAATCAGAGTGAGGTGGGGGTCCTTGATGTGTTTGAAGGACCAAATTATTTTCCTTGGCAACACATTTTCTTTATGGAAATATAGCAGAGAACCATATCAAGCTCTAAAGGTAACACTTGAGTGGTAATCTACCTCAAGTGTCCCACCTTACCTGATTTCACCCTACTATGTGTGACGGTCTTCATGCAGCCTGTTTCCATGGTGACGCAGTGACTCGGTTACATTGAGCACAGTGATCTGCAGCCTAGCATTACAGCTCGGGGATGTTTAGCTCGTATGAACCGACCGTTATAGCGGCCATGTGTCGTGCTTCTGCTCTATAGCCGGCTTATATGTTAAACACGTCACTGTATGGCAGCTCCAACATGATGACTTACCAGGTTAATGCATCGCTACCCACCGCAAGGGCTTTAGTATCAGAGAGAAGCTCAAATTGCAGCCAGCAGCGCGGCCCTGATGCGGCTACACATCCGACCTACAGGAGCTACGGGATGAGAGCAGGTGGAGGACAAGCAGCTGTCAGACAAAATGGTCACACACGGAGGAAACTGCCTGTGCTGCAGCCCCTGAGCAGTGAGTACGCGTGCTCCATGGATCTGTACATGCATCAAGATGCTGCTAGCTTAACGGGATGTCACCGCTGTTCTCTGTTGTAGAGTCCAGGGAATGGCAAACCTTGGTGAGCGGCTTCATAGTTGCAGGGTAAGACGTGTTCATTTTGACACAACAAATTGTTTACTCGTTGTCATGGTGTTTCTTTAGAGTAACAATGACCTCTGCTATGCAAAAACTATAATACACATGGGTATAATATAAAACAGCAGGCCTACAGTGTATGAAAATCAGATGACGTCATGTGAGGAAAGTGCGTGTGTTTGGTAGTTATCGCAGTAATAGCTCGGAGGCGCTGGGGCAGGCTCTTTTCAGCATTTAGATACCATTACTTCCCTGGTGCCTTGGTACTAATAAGCTTCTAAAGGCCTTTCCTTCACACTGCTGACTGAAGGCGGCAGGTAGGCTATCTGATCCATCTGCAGTCTCTAACTGGAGTGATTTTACGCACCGTCAAGCCACAATTACGCACAGCACATCCGCTGGTTACATTATGTGCAGCCAGCACCACCAGAGTGATGCAGTGCTGGAGTGTGAGAAAGTACATTTACTCATGTAAGTAGGCCTACAATGTGCCCCAGAAAAATAAATCACTGTATTTAAAAAAGAAAACTTATTTTCAACTATGTATCATGAGCAATACAGCTGTGCAGTGTGAATGATATGTAGGGGAGACCGGGGTTGGTTGTCACACTTTCTAAAAAAAAAAATCTAGCCTTTATTAAAGCTGTTGTTTTGTAATAATTCATTATAAATATAACATTAAATCAAACAGTGAGATTGGAACAGATTAATCTCCATCACAGTATGACCAGGAGCATATGTTAAAATCACAAATAGCCCATGTTGCCTAGATTTAACACGTCTTGACAAACATTTTAGCTAGCTAAAAGCTGACTCATATCAAAGCTATTACCTTTGACATTTTAATGTGTTTGACTTTTAAACGATTACAAGCTTTTAATACAAAAACAACACCAACGTGCAAAATTTCTCTGACCCATAAAATTTACAAAATATCGCCTCACCTCAGTGTTTTGTGTTTGATCCACAAAACGACCAGTGCAAAATGAGCAGGATGTCAGGCCAACTGTTTGATATCAGTATCTCAACAACAGTGTCACAGCACCCTCCAGTGTGGCTGTAACACTGTGACAACCAACCCTGGTCTCCCCTATATGCTGTGCATACAAATATGCAAATAATGACTACTATCTACATAAATCACACATGCAGCATGCAACATAAATGACTGACATGTTTCTCAGACTTTATGTTGGCTATCTGACAAATAATCTGACCCGAGGGATCAGTGGGTATCAAACTTGATAAGATATCCATGCATGTGTCATTATCCTGAATGGTATTCAACTTTTTAAAATTCGTCTGTGCTGGTATGTTGTTTCTCACTCTCTCAATCTGTGTGCAGGTCACCGAACTTAGCCAAAGATGACAGACTGGAAACAGAGAACAGCGACCCGGAGAGGGACATCTGTGGGAGACACTTTCTTTTTGATAAACAATGTAAGAGTTGTAGAACAGGAGCTGCCCTGTCATTATTACAGTTGAGAGTATACAATAAAATAAGATATCCCAGTCATGTATTGATCACTTTGACTCAATACACTGAATTTGAGTCTTGTTCCTGGATTGTAACCTAACAGCCAGCAGATGGAGCTCTCATCATATATAATGAACTCAGGTCTCATTTCAGTGAGTGCAAGTGTAACTTTGATACTTCAGTATTATTTTATAATGGGGATTAACAGTATTTATGAAAGAAAGAAATTTCCCATATTTGTTTTAAAAGTCTTTAAATAGACCTTTAGAAAATTATTGTCTTCAGATCAGATGTCAGTTCTGAAGGCGTGTATCTGATCTTTGTTTAGGTGCAAGGTTAGAGAGGACCAGAACTGTGATTCCCCCGCTGCCAAGAGACTACCATGTGCACAGACCTGGCAACCTGCATCCCTTCAGCCTCTCCAAGGAGCTTTCCCACAGCCACGCAAGGCGGCCTTTCAACCTGAGGTAACCACTGGATTAATGTCATTCAGTGCAGTAGTTGAAGCTCTGCCTCTTCACAGGGTATTTCTGGAGACAACTGCACAGATTGCAGTAATTATACTGAGTTATCAGAATTACAAGAACATCAGCTGACGAAAAAAAGCAGCCAGATACAATTAATATTTTGACACGCATAATTTGTCTGTCACAAACAGACAAGGTTTTAAGCTGGTTCTTTTTCATGTTTAATATTCTAGTGACGCGGGGCAAATGATTAAAGCTAAAATTGAATTGCTATTAGTTTGCAAAATGATGAGATCATAATCATTTATTACTATTAGTCCTCCGTTTGTGGGAACAGTTTAGTTTTATGGCACGTTGCCTTCCCTTTCATACAGTATGTAACAACCTTAATATAATTTGGGAGAACATACAGAGGCGTGCAACAGTTTTTTGCACCCCTGGTCAAAATTTCATTTACTGTGAATAGTCAAGTGAGGAGAAAATGATCTAACCTCCAAGAGACATGAAGTTAAAGATGGAACATTTCAACATTTTAAGCAAGATTCCTACATTATTTTTGTTTTGTATCATTTTAGAGTGGAAAAAAAGGAAAGCGGCGTCATGCAAAAGTTTGGGCACACCAAGACATTTGAGCTCTCAGACAACTTTTAACAGCTTTTAACAGGCTATCAGTTCATATTTAGCTTGGTAGGGCTCTAGCTTGTTCACAGTCATTGTTTGGAAAGGCCAGGTGAAGCTTTATAAATATTCTGACTCCTGAAACCTTGTCCCAACAATCAGCAGCTCCTCTAAACAGCTGCCTAGCACTCTGAAAACTAAAATAACTGATGCCCACAAAGCAGGAGAAGGCTATAAGAAGATAGCAAAGTGTTTTCAGGTAGCTGTTTCCTCAGTTCGTAATGTAATTAAGAAATGGCAGTTAGCAGGAACTGTGGAGGTCAAGTTGAGGTCATTCTGAGAGAGCTGCTCGTAGAATTGTTAGAAAGGCAAATCAGAACCTCCGTTTAAATGCAAAAGACCTGCAGGAAGTTTTATCAGACAAGTATGACCGTCACGGAAGAGTCACAAGAAGAAACCCTTTCCTGTGTCCTCACCACAAAATTCAGCATCATAAGTTTGCAAAGGAACATCTGAACAAGCCTGATGCTTTTTGCTTTTTTGATGTTAAAATACAACTTTTTGGACACAATGAGCAAAGGTATGTTTGGAGAAAAAAGGAACACCTGTCCAACTGTTAAATACCAGGGTGGGTCGATCATGCTTTGGGCTTGTGCTGCAGCCAGTGGCACAGGGAACGTTTCACAGGTAGAGGGAAAATGGATTCAGTTAAATTCCTGCAAATTCTGGAGGCAAACATCACATCATCAGTAAAAAAACTGAAAATGAAGAGAGGATGGCTTCTACAACAGGACAATGATCCTAAACACACCTTGAGATCCACAATGGTTTACCTCAAGAGGAGCAAGCTAAAGGTTTTGCCGAAGCCCTCACAGTCCCCCGACCTAAACATCATTACAAATCTGTGGATAGACCTCTAAAGAGCAGTGCATGAAAATAGCCGAAGAATCTCACAGAGCTAGAAGCCTTTTGCAGGAAGAATGGGAGAAAATCCTCCAAACAAGAACTGAACGACTCTTAGCTGGATACATTACTCATTTAGAGGCTGTGATACTTGTCAAAGGGGGTGCTACAAATTACTGACCATGCAGGGTGCCCAAACGTTTGCTTCAGGCCCTTTTCCTTTTTTGTTTCTTTGAAATTGTAAAAGTTTTCTTGCTTGAAATATTGACGAAATGTGTCATGTTTAACTTCATGCCTTTTGGAGATCAGTTCGTCTTCTACTTACTTAACTACTCACAGTAAACGGAATTTTGACCACTGTCCAAACTTGGTTTTTCAAATGAATGAAGTAGGTTTTCTTAAAGCAAAATATAAATGAAATTTAACTTATTCTCAACTAATCCAAAACCAAATACAAAGGATTCATGTAGCCATATGTGCAGCCCTTCATTTCATATGTTCATAATCTCCTCAATTCTGTCTTGCAGCTACCCTGAGAGATATGAAGTGAACACATCTCCAGCCATCCTCTTCCCCTCCTCTTTAGTCCTCAATGGCAGAAACACGTTCTCAGTCGAGAGCTGCAAGCTCAGCAGGTATTTTTGCCCTTATAAACTAAATCAGACCAAGCCAATCAATACTTTCCTCAATTGTTTCTCACACCTTTGCCTCCCCTGCTTTCCCTCTCCTCCGCAGGCCCAAGGTGAATTATCCAACCTCCAACCTACTGACTGTTAAAGACAATCAAAAGAGTGAGTTGTTTTGATGCTTTCTGGGAAGTGTTTGGTGTGGTCTTGATACGTCAGGTCAGAACGCCCCTGACTGCGTACCGAGGGGAATGCAACCTTCAACCTGCACATGGTGTTGATTTATTGGCAGCAAACATGTCAGTTTTATGGATTTTCCTTCTTCAAACAAAAGGCACGGATCCCACGCCTCATTATTGTCAGTTCCAGGATGCCTTGTTGTTTGTGGGTCACGACAAAGTGGGACAAGGGGTCACATGGAGAGACATGTTTACTGTTGTCAGATGGAGTGTTTATTCCCGTGTTAAAGTCTAAGCACTGTTCTCTTTTATTTTACTTTTATATTTTGATTTACTCCAGTATACTGAAAAACACCAATTATATTTTTACGAAGCACTAAATCCAGGTGAATGGCCTTGTGTAGCGCTTTTCTAGTCTTACGATCACTCAAAGCGCTTTAACACCACATGTCACATTCACCCAGTCACACACTGGTGGTCGAGGCTACCATATGTGGTGTCATCTGCTACTCAGTAACCATTCACTTGCACTCACACACCAATATAACAGCCATTGTGTTCGGTATCTTGCCCAAGGATACTTTGGCATACAGGCTGGAGGAGCTGGTTATCGAACCGCCAATTTTCCGATCAGTGGACGTCTAGCTCTACCGCTGAGCCACAGCCAGACTAACTGATATAACCCTGTAACTCAACATCTTGAAAGTGCCCCTCATATTGTACTTTTTTTCAGTGAATATATTGTTTTATATAGATTTCGTTCTAATTTTTCATCTTCCCTTCTTTCCATTCATCTCTCTGTGTCTCTTTCCCTCTGTCTTGCTCACCTCTCTATACAAAGACCAGTCCTATCCGGATCCCGTGGTCGGAGCCTCGCGTTCCTTCATCCACAGGATATCCGAGCTGTCCTCCTTGGAGGGTGAGACAGTGAGACAAGAAAAGCTCAAGAAAATGAAGAAACCCAAAAAACCGCCATCCTGACAATCAACATCTTCCCAGTCACACTGGTCAAGGATCAAAACCCTCGAGTCCGTGCCAACGACCGATGAACTAAACAAAACATTAAAGGCGCCATTTTCGTTTCAGTGGCTTGTTCTGACTGCTTGTTTGTCCTCAGTGGTATTAGTTTCCAGCTTAACATGGCTGGTCTTCACGTTTTGGGATTCCTGACCTGAGCTCCTCTCTATTAGTGATTACATGTGGTATTTACTGTGGTAAATTGCAGCGTTTGCTCCAACAATAAATGCTGATGATGAATATTAGGCTAAATATTTTCTATTCTGACTCACAGCTGTCAGTAGTTTCCCACTCAACATCTGCATGAAAGATATTTATTTAACCCCTCTAATGGCTTGTAATGGCTGTTATGTAATACTGCCATATTTCTTGCTGTATCATGGATATGTTGCAGAAGCTGTCAAGCTTTGATCTCATTACAACAGTGTTTCAAACATTGCTGTTTAAGTGGAATATCTATGTACATATTAAATAGTTTAGCAAAACCATTATTGTGCCTTGTTAAACGTCTTCCTGAAATTAAAATAAATTTATTTTTGTTATTGTTACGCCTTTTGTTAAGAGCTTTTTCCCTTTAATGAGTCATGATTTTTGTTGTCTAGCTTCTAGAAGGCTAATAAAGGGAGCTTCCCCCTCCATTGGGCACATACAGCACATATTGACCAGCGCAGTAATGAGAATGCCTAAAAGATTACATGAAACATTATCTGCATTCCATATCTACAAAACAGATAGAAAACTGTGCCTCCAGACCCCAGAATGTGGTACTTTCCCACATAATGCATTGTTTTGTTGCCGTATGGAGGGCAGCTCATGTCTCTGAATAGTCTTGTTCATTGTATTTGACAAAGACAGCAGTCACAGTCTTTTTGTTTAGAGAGAAGTGGGGACTTAGTTATTATCTGACAATGTAGTAGCTGGAGTCATCGTTAGTGCTTGTTTGCAATGTGTGATAATTCAGTTAGCACAATGAGTGGCCCTGTTATTTAAACTATGTTTCATGAAACAACTTGTATCCCTGTTGTCACAGTGTGAATAACTAAAGCAGACCTGTTGCCATCTGTGTATTACTGATGATAATTGGCACAAGGTATGAAGCCAGATGCAACAGCTGCAGCAAGCACAGCCTCAGACATGAGCCTGAAGCCATTTTGTTCAACTGATATATCGCACAAACATCCTGAAGTTTAATTTAATAACTTTTAGTAAGGGAGCGTCTAATAATTTGTGAATATTGTAGCATAATTTAGATGTACCGGGTGGAAATGAAGCACAAGAGAATAAATTGACCGAATGAGTGAATATAACCCAATGTAAGATTTATTAGAAAAAGTAGGATCAGTATTGCATAAGACATAATAATGACAAGAAATGTCATAGTAAAGTATGCCATAAAAAACGCCATAGTACAGTATGTAGTTGTATAGTATGCCATAAGACACATTTAACACATTGTGGTAATATAGCATACCATGAAAAAAATGTCATAAAAATGTCATAATATGGTACTGCAACCGCGAAATGCGATGGTGTAGTATGTAATAAAAACTGTCACAGTATACTACGGCATAAAAATGTCATCACGTATTCCATTAAAAATGACGTAGTATTGTATGCCCTAAAATTTTCAGAAAAATGTCATAGTATAATATTGCAATAAAAGCATTTTAGTGTCGTCTGTTATAAAATGTCAAAAAATTGTCATTGTGTGGTATGCAATAAAATAAAAAAAAAAATTAAATTATTGTCATAGCATTGCTACAATAAAAAATTCATAGTATAGTATGACATTAAAAACTATTATGGTACAGTATTACAAAAAAATATCGTAGTATGATGTACCATAAAAAAATTGAGAAAAATGTCACAGTATACTATGTTGTAAAAAAAAACTGTCAATATAAGGTATTCCAAAAAGACATTTCATAGTACAAACACTGAAAAAAAGTCATAGTATAATATGTAATAAAACAACATTAAAGAATACAATATCAAACCATATCATGAAATACTGTCAAAAAAAATTTGTCAGAAAAATTGTCATAGTTTAGTTATGTAAAAAAATCAGTATAGTATGTTAAAATATATCATAGAATAGCATGTCAAAAAATTAATACTGTAATATGTCAAAAAATATTGTTTGTTAAAAAATTGTCATAGTATAGCATGTCAAACATGTAGTATAATTTGTTAAAAGAAATAAAATTTGTGAGAAAAATCTTAATAATATAGTTTGTCAAAAAACATCATAGTACAGTATGTCACAAAATATCACAATATAGTATGTTAAAAAATATCATAGAATAGCGTGTCAAACAACCACCATAGTATAGTATATAAAAAATATAGTATATTTTGTCAAAAAAAAACTTTGTCAGAAAAATCATCATAGTATAGTACATATAAAAATTCATTGCATAATATGTAATAAAACGTGTAATATTGAAATATGTCAAAACATATCATATATGTCAAGAAATCGTCATAGTATAGTATGTCAAGAATATATCATAGCAAAGAATGTCAAAAATATCATAGCATAGAACGTTAAAAAAATGTCATAGTATAGAATTTCAAAAAATTTGTCATAGTATAGCATGTCAAAAAAATGTCAGTATAATATATCAAAAATGTCATAGCATAGAATGTCAAAAAAATCATCATGGTATAGTATGTCAAAAAAAAAATCAGAGTATAGTATGACCAAAAATCAGAGTATAGTATGACCAAAAAAATCATAGTATAATATGTCAAAAATCATCATAGCATAGTATGTCAAAAAATGTCATAGTATAGTATGTTAAAAAATCATCATAGTATAGTATGTCAAAAAAAATCATAGTATAGTATGTCAAAAATCATCATAGTATAGTATGTCAAAAAAATCATCATAGTATAGTATCTCAAAAAATCATCATAGTATAGTATGTCAAAAACAATTATCATAGTGTAGTATGTCAAAAAATCATCATATTATAGTATGTTAAAAGGAATCATAGCATAGCATGTCAAAAAATCAGCATAGTAAAATATGTCAAAAAATATCAAAGTATAGTATGTCAAAAAATATCATAGTATAGTATGTCAAAAATATTATAGTAGAGTATGTAAAAAATCATAGTATAGTAAATATAGTAGTAGTAGTAGTATAGTAATATATAATATAGTATGTCAAAATAAATCATAGCAGTATAGTATGTCAAAAAAATCACAGTATAGTATTCAAAAACATCATAGTATAGTATGTCAAAAACTACCATAGTATAGTATGTCAAAAAAATCATAGTGTAGTATATCAAAAAATATCATAGTATAGTATATCAAAAAAAAAAGATCATAGTATAGTATGTCAAAAAATTTCATACTACAGTATTTAAAAAAAAAAGAAACCATAGTATAGTATATCAAAAAATGTCATAGTATAGTATGTAAAAAAAAATATCAAAGTATGGTATGTCAAAAACTACCATAGTATAGTATGTAAAAAAAATAATAGTATAGTATGTCAAAAAAAATCATCATAGTACAGTATGTCAAAAAATATCATAGTATAGTATGTAAAAAAAAAAGTCATAGTATAGTATGTCAAAAAATATCATAGTATAATATTTCAAAAATATCATCGTATAGTATGTCAAAAGATATCATAGTATAGTATTTCAAAAAGAAACAACCCCATAGTATAGTATGTCAAAAAATGTCATAGTATAGTATATCAAAACATATCAAAGTATAGTATGTCAAAATAATCATCATAGCATAGTATGTCAAAAAATATCATAGTCTAGTATGTCAAAAAAATAAAACATTAGAGTATGTCAAAAACTACCATAGTATGTCAAAAACTACCATATTATAGTATGTCAAAAAAAATCATAGTATAGTATGTCAAAAAATATCATAGTATAGTATGTCCAAAAAAATCATAGTATAGTATGTCAAAAAAAAATATCATAGTATAGTAGGTAAAAAAATTATCATAGGATAGTATGTCAAAAAAATCATCATAATATAGTATGTCAAAAAATATCATAGTATAGTATGTCAAAAAAATCATTATAGTATAGTATGTCAAAAAATGTTATAGTAGAGTATGTCAAAAAAAATCATAGTATAGTATGTAAAAACATATCATAGTATAGTATGTCAAAAACTATAATAGTATAGTTTGTCAAAAAAATTCATAGTGTAGTATATCAAAAAATATCATAGTATAGTATGTAAAAAAAAATCATAGTATACTATGTCAAAAATATGTCATAGTATAGTATGTCAACAAATTTCATAGTATAGTATTTAAAAAAAAAACCCATAGTATAGTATGTCAAAAAATATCATAGTATACTATGTCCAACAAAATCAGCATAGTACAGTATGTAAAAAAACAATCATAGTATAGTATGTCAAAAAATCATCATAGTATAGTATGTCAAAAAATATTATAGTAGAGTATGTAAAAAAAAATCATAGTATAGCATGTCATAAAAATCATCGTATAGTATGTAAAAAAACTCAAAGTATAGTATGTCAAAAAAAAGTCATAGTATAGTATGTCAAAAAAATCATCATAGTATAGTATGTCAAAAAAAGTTATAGTATTGTATGTAAAAAAAAATCATCATAGTATAGCATGTCAAAAAATATCATAGTATAGTATGTCAAAAATATCATAGTATAGTATGACAAAAAAATTCATAGTATAGTATGTCAAAAAAAATCATCATAGTATAGTATGTCCAAAAAAATTATGCTATAGTATGTCAAAAAAATATCATAGTATAGTATGTCAAAAAAAATGTCATAGTATAGTATGTCAAAAAATATCATAGTACAGCATGTCAAAAAAATTATCATAGTATAGTATGTCAAAAAATATCATAGTAGAACATGTCAAAAAATATCATAGTATAGTATGTCAAACAATATCATAGTATAGTATGTTATAAAAAAATTTTATAGTAGTCCTTGGTCAAAAATTTCATTTACCTATTATATGCCAACAAAATCATCATGTAGTATTCCATTACATCAAATCCCTTAATGCCTTAATTGTTACTAAATTGATTTCAAATCTATAGCAGGGACCCTGTACTAATCAGGAGGGCATGGAGAGACAGAGCCAGGGAAGTTGTTCACTGTGTTTAATTTCAGGGAGTGTATCCCTGAGCTCCCTATTAAATACAAATGTGAAGTTGCCAAATGTTGGGCTCTGTTTGCGTTCTTCCCTCCCTTTCTGTGGACAGTGAGGTGTGCATTTCAGGGACACACAGTGACCTAGAAACACAGAGCCATCCCCTTATTCAAGTGAAGGGGTTGTATTCACGCTCAAACGGAGGCCGGGTCTCCCTCTTCTTGCAGGGTTTATACCATCCCTTTCAAGTGTAGTGAAACAAAATGACCTGGAACAAACAGTCAACAATGAGGTCTTTAATAAGAGCCGTACTGGGGCCTGCCCACAAGTGGTTTATCGTTTCACTCTGTAGCTCCTGTTAACCAGGACTGTACAGTACCAGACGACGAGTACAGTACTCTGCTGGTGCAGAAATGCTGAATTGTTTTATAATGCCTCAAACAATAGATCTTTCTTATAGTGTGTAATGAGAACATTTGTGCTCATACTCATACTTTATGTCATACAGTATTATTAATGTAAGATTTTCTATCAGAGTAAATTAGGTGAGGGTCGGTCCCCAGTAAAGAAAAGCCAGGTTGTGTTACTGTTTCATCTGACTTGATATTGTGCCAGTTGACTCTATCAGCAGGGATCAGAGAATGTAGCCTGTCTGCCAAATTATAACTTTGCCAACGCCTCAAATCCAAAATGCCCTAAATATATTTGGGTCAGCATGAGAGGAAAAGAGAGAGCTTACGTCTGAACAAAGACCAGTTCATTCCCTTTCAACTGAATGTGTTTGCTGTTTAATACCAGTGTACAAGCCAAAATGAAAGTGGCTTTAATCAATATTTGTATAACAATAGTTCATATTTTTGGGTTCTGGCTTTTCTGATGTGAGTATTTGCTGCTTTTCCTTGTCTTACATTTTTGTAAATATTTTTGGATATTAAACTCTTGGCAGACAAGATAAAACATTTTAATCAGGAGACAGAAGAACAAAGTAAAGATAATATTTAATACAGAATATGAGTGTACAGATTAACAGATGATTCGTGCTGATTAAGATTTAACAGAAGTCTTTGGCACTTGGACACCAGAGGGAGATATTTTGTGATAGAGGGACATCTGAGTTGCAGCAAGGTCATTCCCCATGGAGTCTGGACACTGGTGGTGGCGGTGGCTGATGACTTTGAGGCTGATGGCTGCTGAGGTGGATGAGGCTGATGAATCCATAAAGACAAGGAGGTGATGAGGAGGTGGAGGACGCACAGGAGAAACAACCATATTTAGGAGCAGTAAGATGATAGTCTGGCAGAGAGGGTGTGTTCCTGTGCTATTGGTTGATTGTGAATCAGATGATGACTTAGTTGACCTACCCACACAATCTAGAGATAGTGAGTAAGCATGTGAGCAAAGAGTGAATGGCAGGGTTAGAAAGAAACAGCCTGAGCATGAAATATATTGTCTTCCCAACTGAACTT